TCTTTTTCTTATAATCAGTTGTGTGTCACTTTTCTCTATTAGTGCAGTGCGTTAAAGCAAAGATGGTCTGTGGTCCTTGGTGATTTATAATAAGCAAGTCAATGGCTATACAGACACTTTGAAAGTTAAAAAACATGTACAGACAAAACTAAATAAATAACAGCGATACACTAAAGTCTTCTGAAGTAAAAAAAAAATCAGTTTGTGGCAGAAAAAGAAAGAAAGAAAGAATGAAAGAAAAAGAAATAAAAGAAAAGAAAGAAAGAAAGAAAGAAAGAAAGAAAGAAAGAAAGAAAGAAAGAAAGAAAGAAAGAAAGAAAGAAAGAAAGAAAGAAAGAAAGAAATAAAACTAAAAACTAGGTAAAGTTTAATCATGATTACTTGCATTCAAAATTAAAGTTTGTTTTGGCATAATATACATGTGTGTGTGTGTGTGTGTGTGTGTGTGTGTGTGTGTGTGTGTGTGTGTGTGTGTGTGTGTGTGTATTATGTATATGTGATACACATACACAAATAGAAACCAAAAAATACAAAACAATTTTGTTAGATAAATATTTAAATTTATAAGTAATTTGCTTTATATCCCAATATATTTTAAATTTAATTAAAAAAAAAGTTTTCTCAAATATATGCATGCATGAGTATATTTATATATAGGCAATAAATATACACAGCGCACACACTTACATTGAGTCAAAACTAATTTTTATTTTGCTTATTTTTGCCCAACACTAATAAAACAATTAGTATATTTATAAAACAACAACAACAACAACAACAAAAACAACAATAATAATAATAATAATAATTATTATTATTATTATTATTATTAGTAGTATTATTATTATTATTATGACAATAATAATAAACAACAACAATAACAATATAATTATTATAACTTTACCCAAATTTTAAATGAATGAACACCTCATTCAAACACATAAAATTATTTCAAAGATCCTAAAACAACACTGATCCACGGCAGCCAGACAATAACACCAATAACACCAGAGAGGAGTTTGGGTCTTTAAACAGGGTGAACATCTGTTTCAGACACTATTCGTTGGGCCCTCAGCTTCACCCAAACTTCAAAGTTTCCCTGACTCAGTCACAAATAAAACTCCCAAAGCCCAAATCTAACTTTAGCCTCTTCTGGTCCACAGGGGAGAATGTGAAAACACAGAGTAAAGTCAAACACATCCGTCCGCCTCCTCCACACAGCTAGAAATGTCATCAAGCAGACCCCTGGGATCCCGTTCCAGACACAGATGTCTCCATCTCACTGATAAATACTGCACAGACTAAACAAAAAATAAAAAAAAAACTTGAGTGTGTCTTTCCAGTCCTTTCCCCCCATCGCCACCATCACTCCCAGACTCAAACTACACGTGTAATCCACACTTCCCTGCCATTCCATCTGCTGAAATGATTTTTCCTCTGCTCTGTGGAAACAACTCGGGCCGTGAGACTCGTGGCCCTGCATTAACACCGATCCTTTCAGACACAACCAATTTCCAAAAGCAGAGCATGCTGGGTAATGCAGAGCCAGCTGACCCCAGTCGCAGGTCTCACATCTCAATAAAGAGGTCGCATTTCACCTCAGCCTGCTGCTTTGATTAAGAACGGATCTGTGTTGAATCAACATTTCCAGTCTAGTCCAAGAAATAGCAGGACACTAAACCACAACGGGGAATGGAATTGCTGCTGAGAATAGGGAAATTCAGGGTAAAGTGAGCCTTCCTTTCCAGGAAGAGACAGCATCTGGGACTTCCAGAGACGTGAGATGGAAGAGATGCACCAGAAAATATGTTGTCAAGAGCTGTCATGAAGCAGACAGAGTGGTTCACCTCAGGAGAACATCCATAAGTAGTTTTAACCACCACAATGGTTAGATTAAAGAGAGCAAACATTTTCATGTTTTTTAAAACCTGTACCACTTTTGTTTGTAGAATCCAGTAGAATATTTTTTCTTCCACACAACTGTTATCATTTCATCAAGTTGTTAATTTAACTTAAAAGGGTGATCCACGGTGTATTTTAAGGTTTGGTTGTGTTTATAAGATGCAAAGCACTGTAGACTCATACTTGTAGAAAATCATGTTTTTTATATATCTTACTTCAATTATATAAAGTTACTCAGCTAACATGAAAATGACTGTCATATTTCCTCTGAAAGGCTCGCCCTCACACCTCATGCTCTCTAGAACAAAATCTGACAAGTGTCTTTCACATATATCTGGAATAAGTATGTTTAAGTAATATAAAACGTTCACATAGGTTTTGCAAGTTTGTTATTTGAGATGTATAACGCATGGAAAACGTTTGCATAGAGAAACTCTGCATGCGCTGCTGAAAATTGTGGGCGTTTACGGCGGTTTGACTGATAAATATGAATTTGTAGCTAAACTGTTAGCAGTGCCAAACAGCATTTCCAGTTGTTTACATCCTCACTAGAACATATTGTTAACGCTAGAAACTGTGTATGTAATAGATCAATTTTAACAAATAAAAACACTAAAAGGTTGTGGCTTACAAGCCAAAGCTTCGTCGGTATTAGCCGAATCCAGCACTGAACCGGGAGAGATTGTGGAAGTTCTCCTTTATCAAATGCTAGCTATATATTTATTACAACTCTCTGGAACATAATTAACATTGAACTGTAAGCACTTCTCTCTTTGTGTCATGTCCTTTGGAAGCCCAATCCAGAAAAGAAAGAAGCTCTGTAGAAATAGCAGCATTTGGACGGCATTGCATAGCTTTCTCTGTTATAATGTTACAGCTTCTCTGGCCACGCCCCGGTGCTGCGCAGGCTGTATGAAGCATTTATGATCTCATTAACTTGGATGTATTTTTTTACATTCTTACATTAAGAGATGTTGTTTATGTTCATACAGCTACATTACACTTGAACTAAAATTTTAAATATGATGGACCACCCCTATTAGAAAAATTTGAATATTACATGAATCTTTTAAAAAATAAAGCACCATCTGCATTACATGCGTGTTAAGGGTTATATATTGCCTTTTTTTTTACTTTAATGTTATCAAGATTTTTTACACTAAAATATCATTTAGAAGTAAAAGGGTATTGTCTAGTTCTGTTTTGACCCTCATCAAAACACTGTTTATAAATGGGATTGTAGACTCTGAAGTAAATGTGCAGTGTTATGATTGGCTAACCATTTACACTTTATCAATTTTTGTCCACCCTTATAACCTAATGTACATTTTTTATTAATATAGAGTATTTATAGTGTGTTGCCATACATTCAACGCACTTTACAAGAGGGGGTCTATCCATACCACCACCAGTGTACGGCATCCACCTGGATAATGTGACAGCAGACATATGACAACAGTGCCAGTTCGCTCACCACACACCAGCTTCAGGTGAAGATGCAAGACAGTGGTACAGCCGATGCAGGGGATAAAAATAATCAGGCAGCCATGATGGGTAAGGGCCGATGGAGAGAACTTGGCCAGGACACTGCAGTTACAGCCCTACTCTTTACGAGGCGTGCAATGGGATGTTTAATGACCACAGAGTGTCAGGACCTCGATTTAACGGTTTTCACCTACAGTATAGTGTCCCGATCACTATACTGGGGCATTAGGAACCACACAAGACTGTTAGCACCCCCTGCTGGCCTCATTAACACCACTTCCAAAAGCAACCAGGTACTAACTAGCTTCAGTGAGCAACCAAAGACTTGAGCTGCAGGGTGATATGTGTCTCCACGTAACCATCTGCATGTGTGATTAACAGCAAACATAATTCATAGATGGACACTGCTGTGATTTAGATTAAAAACTCATAAATGCAGCGTACATATCAAATGATCTGTAGTAACAAAGTAATAGTGACGACGCAAAAAAAAAAAAAAAAAAAAAGGTTTTGTGGTGCAGCATCACTATCAGATGCAATATAGTCGAAACAGCAGTCATTCACTTTTAATCCGTCTGAAAATCTTAATTGAATTGCACCTTGTCTGTAAACAAATATGCATTAAAATGAATTGAACTAGAGACCAAGTTCCTAGTGACAGTCCGGCACTTCATAAGAAATAAATTTCAACTAGGCATGGGATGATAACCGTTTTCAGGGTATACCGTGGTTTGTAAAAGCCAAGCCGTTCCTAAAGTAGGTGTACGAAATTTTTTTTACGTTTTTTTTTTTTTTTTTTTTAATATTTTAAATGTTTCTCAAATTGAAATATATTGTGTTCAAAAGGGGAAAATAAGTTCTTGTATTTTACCCAGAAATTTAAAAACATATTTTAGAGCAGTAATCACAATCCCCTAAAACCATGATATTGTTATTCAAAGTTATCATATAGTCAGAATTTTATACCAGCCCATCCCTAATTTCAACCACTGTTTCCTAATGTTGGGTTCAGACCACAACTTGGCACTGCACAGTATCTTGTTTTCTTCATAGTTTGGCTTCTGCTTAGACCTGCATTTGCATCACTCTTTTTTTTTTACCTGCAACATGTACCTACCCATCACTTGTTCTTTAAAGGCAAAGTCACATGAGTTTTTTTATAAACAATTTATTCTGCAAACTTCATTTATTGATTAATTTTCTTTTCGGCTTAGTCCCTTTATTAATCAGGGGTCACCACAGCGGAATGAACCGCCAACTTATCCAGCATATGTTTTACGCAGCGGATGCCCTTTCAGCTGAACAACTCATCACTGGAAAACACCCATACACCATACACCAAAGGAAACATGCAAACTCCTCTGCAAACTTCTTTTGTGTATTTTTTCTTTCTGGCTTGGGATGTTAAATCAAATCATTGATTTAATGTCATTTATCTGATGCTGATCTTCTATTACCTGACATGTTCCAAGTAACAAGTTATGAAAGGAAAAAGCTTTATATTTTATTTTTCTACCCTAAAGAATTCAAAGTAACTCATACTAGCATCATTGGTTCACAACAGAACAGGTGTAGGGGCGCTGTAAAAAGTTTCATGGAAATTAAAAACTCACTTGTCTGCCATCTTGCCCCACATTCGTCTGTCCCCTCACCACTGTTCTGATATTGTCATCCAACTTTCTGATTAGAAAATTATAAATAATATCAATTAATAAAAAAAACAATATTCCACATTCATAAATGTTGACCACATCAAGGTGTAATTATTAAAAACTTACCTGATTTTAAGTCGAATGTTATTCACCACTTCATCTATATTTGCCAGGGACTAAAAAGAGATTCATTAGATTAGTATGAACTAGTAGAGATGGATTTTTTTTTAAATAACATTGTTCAGATTATACACGTTTCTTTTTTTATAATCAACATCTTATTATCTTTATCTTCACAGGCAGTAGTGCTCTCTAGTGGCCAAGTATATGAACATTACCCCATTTAATCCCAACAAGTACTGTTGTGACCTTGTATGTTTTCTTATTTCTGGAATCTCTAAAAGTGTTGTTGTTGGCTTTGGGCAATTTTTCTTTTTTATAAAAAAAACTAAACAAAATTAAAACAACCAGATTTACATACTAAAGTTTACATTATTCCTTCTTACACATCTAGATGTAAGAGGTGATTATTTCTGTGTTTACTTGTGGCGTAACAACTGTTAAGAATTAAAAACAATTGAATTTCAATGGAATTCTAACCATGCTGTTTCAAATTGTTCACTATTGTCACCAAATATAAAACTTAATTTAACCAACATAATATTAAGGAAGGCATGGAGTTTCTGTGTTAAAGATGTAAGAGAAAATTTGGAAGTAAATGAGTTTAAGAGATATAATACTCTGCAACAATGCAAGACAAACAGATGTTATCGTTAAATGATTTGTCCCGGTCTTAAACATGGGTTACCTAATAACAGGGATAACATTTGATATATTAATTATCAGTTTATCACCACAAAACGTGTATGTATCCCGGTATGTATAACTTAAGCTTGCAGCTTGTTAAATGCAGAAAAAAATCATAATAAAACGTACACATTCATCATTTGGATCAATAATCTGATTCAGACTCACCTGCTCTGTTGGAAACAAGGTATTAATGTATTCAACAGCATTAAAATCAGCTCGATCTAATGGGTCTTGACTGGGAAAAACCTAAAAAAGAAATCATACAAATAACAAATAACATGAACAAAAACATAAAAGCAGACTCAGCTGATCAAGGACGTTAAACATGTTCTGTGGACAAAATGGTGTCGATATATTTTTTTACAGTGCAGTCTGTTGAGGTGTCACCAAACATAGACCATAGATATCATGTTGGACTGGCTAAGCATTAAAAATGGAATGATTGTGGCTTGATTGAGCTCAATAAACAATGCTCTTTGCTATTATTAGTAAACATTGCTTATAATCTCTTCTTTTTTGACAAATCGGTTAATAAACATTGCTTATAATCTCTATCTTTTTAACAGAAAAATAAGTTAATTACCTAATGCGTTCCACACTTCTTACTGTTTTAGCATGCATTTGTAAAGATTAATGTAGTAGTGCACATATATTTAGGTTTTATGGTATATTTAACAGATTTTCAACACTATAAGAAAGCCCATGAAATAATATACAGAATATTTCCTTACAAAAGTATAGCATTTTATATTATCATTGTAAAGAACATGGCCTATATGATTCCTAACACATCATTAATTAGAATACAATATAATTTGTATTCAAAAACAGTTTTCTCCTGTATTTACAGTAACTTAACGTTAAGAGTATTTACGCCCTCAAGTAACACGCGAGAAATTAAACATTTGCGTTGGCTGATTTGTCGTTTTAAAACTGAAGTTTGTTCTGGAAACAGTTCTGAACACAAACAAAATGATAAGTGAACAAGACATGAGCAAATTTGTTAGCATAAATGGAGACGTTTATTGGAAACTGGCTATTAGCATCTCTGAAGACAACAGACAGCTTGTGTTTACTCTCTGACACTCTCAAAAACATACGCAAAGAAAAACAAATCCGAGTTACCTGCTCAATCGCCAATTGCACTTCTGGGGTAAGGTGTAATATCGCCTCTAAATCTTCCACAAATTCTAATTCTTCATCCTCCATCATTGTGAACAGTAAACTGTCTGGTTTATTTCCCTGTGCTGACGCGAATACTTCTTTACCGGTGTCGACGCGCAGGAGAAATTTGATTCATTAGCGCCATCTGTCGCGCTGGAGACCAAACACGTTCACTCTTGGGGGTGATGTTGTGTGACAACCATATAGACTGTAAAGGTGAGAACAAACATTATATCTGGGTATTTTTATATTGTTAGTTTAATATTGTAACAAATTACCTTGGCTTGTCTAATGTTGTAATGGTCACCCTTTTGCATCCTTATTTATGTCTTCATTTATAATACTTTATAACTTTGTGTTAATGAAATTAGCATCCATATTCATTCATTCATTCATTCATTTTCTTTCGGCTTAGTCTCTTTATTCTTCAGGGGTCGCTACCGTGGAATGAACCACCAACTTATCCAGCATATGTTTTTCACAGCGAACCCAGTACTGGGAAACACCTATACACTCGCACTCACACACGCACTCATACACTATGGCCAATTTAGTTTATTCAATTCACCCATATCGCAAGTCTTTGGACTGTGGAGCACCCCAGATGAAACCCCCACAACACGGGGAGAACATGCAAACAAAGAAATGCCAACTGACCCAGCCAAGAATCATCAGGGACCTTCTTGCTTTGAGGTGACAGTGCTAACCATTGAGCCACCATTTACTGTAAATACCATTTAATTTATACTTTCTTTGTTTACAGGCTTCCAAGGTTTCAAAATCGTAGGGTGCACAAAAATAAAAACAATATGGAAAGATTCATTCAAAAGAGGATCCAAACTGACTAGAATACAATATAATACAAGTATCTCATCAGGTCAGACTGTCTGAGATAATATAGATGACAGAGAATGGCTAAAGTACATTAAAATCGAGTATAGCAAACATCAACATCTATGCTGAAAACACAGATTCACATGTAAGTCAAGTCGTGGAGCCTTATAAATTACAAAATCATTTCATTTACGTACTGATCACTCTTATCAGCCAGTTCTTTTAAGTTAATCAAAACACAAACAGTGTGATCGGTATAACCTAATTCATCAGCACATGTGACCATGGTCTTATGTTTCATGGTTTTGAGGGATGTAAACAAAAACAATGGCCCCAATGTATTTCCTGTTTTACATCTTTAATTTCTATAGCTTCTGAGAATCCAAAAAAGAGCCACATATTGTTAAATAATCTTATGCTAGTGGTTTTAATATTAAATTATGATTGACTTGCCTCTTCTTACAGTTATGAAATAGTTTGAAACAAGCAGAAAATGTTCATGGGCCAATGACATGACCACATTGAAATGATCGATATTTTGGCAATAGCTAATAATACATTGATTGATTTTTCTTATATGCCAAAAATCATTGAAATATTGAGTAAAGATATTAAGTACATTTCCTACTGTAAATATATTAAAACATAATTTTAATTAGTAATGTGCACTTCATTTGGACAACATTCATTCATTCCCTTAGTACCTTTATTAATCTGGGGTCACCACAGCGGAATGAACCGCCAACATATCCAGCAAGTTTTTACCTTCCAGCCGCAACCCATCTCTGGGAAACATCCACACACTCATTCACACACACACTCATACACTACTGATAATTTAGCTTTCCCTCACCTGTTTCGCATATCTTTGGACTGTGGGGGAAATCGGAGCACCCAGAGGAAACCCACGAGAACATGCAAACTCCACACAGAAACATCAACTGAGCCGAGGCTCGAACCAGCGACCTTCTTGCTGTGAGGCAACAGCACTACCTACTGCGCCACTGCTTCAACATTAAAGGTGCTTTTCTTAACAAAAAAATAAAGATTCCAGATATTCAAATAGCTGTGTTTCTACAATACAAAACTTTATTTTCAGACTTGGATCTGAAATTTTTCTTGCATAACAGCATGATAAAAACTCCTTTCTAAGAGACAAAGACAAACAAACAAACACATAAATAAATAGATAGATAAATGTATAAATAAATAAATAAATAAATAAATACATTCATTTTACACAGGCCTTATTCAGCTTCAATTAATGTACAATGATGTACAAATTACTTTTTTATTTTCACTTTATTAAATCTTGAGACTCTAAATAGACTTAAATTCATGATTTAACACATGGTTCAAAATGATGTTTCTTGCCAGCCTTGTGAGGTTCTTGTAATACAAATGGTCATATAATTTCTCAAGAGGCTTTCCTACTATCTTTGAACAGATTTTAAGCTGGTTCATCAACTTTGTTTTTAGACTCACAGACAGATTCATATAGCATACAGAATTACAATATCGCAGAACACTGATAAGTACAGACATAAAAAAAGTTCAAGAATCTTTATCGATGCTCAAAAAAAACTAAGATAATGCAAAAATGATTCTTGGTTTCTGTCAAATATACTCCTATCCTAACAATCCATAAATCAATCAGCTCTTATGTAATTGTATATAAAAATTGGTTTGGTTTTTATTATTATTAGAGAGAGAGATTTGTCTTTAGTCATTTTTAACAGTTGTTTTAATTCAATGAATACACATATGACAGTGTATCCCATTCACAAACATATTCAGTTGTTCTGCTCAATGCCGGTCAATCACCCTCCACTTTGTTGGTAGGGCCAGGTTAAATGTTTGAAATCCCAACCACTGTCTTCTCATTCTCCTTAGCTTAAAGTTCAAGATTAGCTCACTGTGAATTCAAGATCTCTGGCGCATGTGTACTTTGTTTCCTAAACTGTAAATGATTGATCGTATTACGCACTGAGCTTCTGTCTCGAAGCTCTCAGAGATGAATGAGTCCACAGAGAAGACGCAAGATGCCTCGGGAGCAGCTGAACACTCTCTGCTTTAAAATGAGAGAAGGATTGCCTAAATGGAGAGATGTTTTCACATGGTGAGTGTGTAAGACCATAGTGAAAATCAGGCTTTTATTTTATCCTCCATGGATCACTCTTAAGTTATGCTGTTGTGTTATTTTAGTATTATTCATGTTGTTTTATAAATAGTTTAAAATAGCCTCCAAAGAAATATTTTCAGTTTTCATTTTTAACTTTAGCACCGCAGTGGCGCAGTAGACAATGCTGTCACCTCACAGCAATAAAGTCATTGGTTTAAGCCTCGGCTGGGTTAGTTGGCGTTTCTGTGTGGAGTTTGCATGTTCTCCCTGCGTTCATGTGGTGCTCCAGTTTCCCCCGCAGTCCAAAGACATGCGCTAAAGGTAAATTGGGTAAGCTAAATTGTTCGTAGTGTATGAGTGTAAATGAGTGTGTATGAATGTTTCCCAGAGTTGGGTTGGAGCTGGTAGGGTATCCGCTGCGTAAAACAATACTGGATAAATTAGTGGTTTATTCAGCTGTGGCAACCCCAGATTAATAAAGGAACTAAGCCGAAAAGAAAATTAATTAATGAATGAACTAATAATTGTTTATTAGTTTTTAATTAGATTTCAGTATTAGTATTCAGTATTTCTCAGATTCCATAAATAAGTGTCAATTTTCTGAAATTGAGAGTTATACACATCACATGAAGGCTGAATAAGTAAGCTTTTTTATTGATTTATGGTTGGTACAACTATTTGAATATTTGGAACCTAAGGGTTCAGAAAATTCTTAATATAGAGAAAATTGCCTTTAATGTCGTCAAATTAAAAATTAAAATTGAACATTACTAATCAAATATGTGGATTTATTTATAATAGCAAATTTACTTAATATGTTCATGAAACATTCATTCATTCAATCATTTTCCTTTGGCTTAGTTCCTTTATTCCTCAGGGGTCACCATAGTGGAATGAACCCCCAACTTATCCAGCATATATTTTACAAAGCGGATGCCCTTCTAGCTGCATCCCAGTACCAGGGAAACACCCATACACACTCACTTACACTCATACACTATGGCAAATTTAGTTTATTCAATTCACCTGTATTGCATGTCTTTGGACTTGTGGGGTAAACCAGAGCACCAGGAGGAAACCCACGCCAACACGGGTTGAACATGGAAACTCCACACAGAAATGCCAACTGACCCAGCCAGGACTCAACCTTCTTGCTGCCAGGCGACTGTGCTAACCACTGAGCCACTGTGAAAACAATCTTTACTTAATATTCTAATGATTTTTGGTTATTGTTACAATATACCCATAAAACAAGGCTGGATTTTTGGTCAAGGGTCACATACTATATTTGTATTATAGTTGTTTTATTTTTATGTATGATTTCTTTTGCAAAAACCAATAAACACAATTTTGACACATTTTCCTGTCATGCTTTCTTAGGGCAAATTAGCTCTTCGATGCAGAACAAAAACATGATTTATGAAATTATTAAAAACATTTTCAAATGAACTTGTCATATATAGTTTATACATAAATTTTAGAGCAATCATTTACACTCAAAAAAATATTTTTGTTTCTTGTTCACTTATTTAAAATGACCTAACCCAGCCTTTTGGTGCTGAATCTAAGTAAGAGGTTCTAAATATTCATGAATTTATTTCTCCTGTTGAACGCAAAACAAGACATTATGAAGAATGTTGGGAAAAAATTTCCATTGACATCCAAAAAAATGCTATGGAAGTCAATGGCTATTTATTCCAACAGTCTTCAGTATATCTTCCTTTGTGCTCAACAGAAAAAAAATCCTCAAACAGGCTCTGAACAATTAGAGAATGAGCAATGGTGACAGAATTTATCCATGTCCGTGTGTGAACTATCCCTTTAAAAATGTCATTAGAAAAGAATCGTCTCAAAACCTTGATAAAAGATTGCAATGATTCCAGTGGATGTTGATTGCAGGCAGCTGTTGAAGATTCTGCTGATGGGACAAGGCCTCTCAGCTCTGATCTGTGGCACTGCTGTAACATCACAGTATCTGGCATCCGTTTACTATCTGAATACCCCTATGCTGCAGAGCTTTATTAACTACACACTCCTGGGCATCACTTACACCATGGCACTTATCTTCAGAAGAGGTATTTGATCACGAATCATCAGATTTTCAATGAATTTCAATCTCTTGTTTCAATCTTGTTCATTATTTAAAGCTCTTCAGATATCTGACACTTTCTGGCATGCGATATTCAGGATGCCTCTCTTTTAATGTAGGTGATGGAAATATTTTGCAGATATTAAAGACAAAATGGTGGAAGTATCTATTGTTGGCGGTGGCAGATGTGGAGGCAAATTATGCAGTGGTGAAAGCATACCAGTACACCACATTAACCAGCATACAGGTCAGATTAGATCATATACAGTATCATTATCATTCTCTCATGCTCACTAGGTGTGCTGATTAAAATACAGTAAAAACAGTAATATTGTGAAATAATAGTAGATTTGATATTAGTATTTTCTGTTTGAATATATTTTAAAATTGTCATTTATTCCTGTGATTTCCATCTGAATTGTCAGCATTTTTAGTCTGGATCAGTCTGGATATTTAAGTAAATTAGTTATCATAATACATGTCTTTATTTTCATTTTTTTCAAAAAGACAAGTTTACTTTAAAAAGTTATTGATTACTAAGTACTAATACTATTATTAAATTGTATTTGAATTTATTTTACATATAAACTAGGTCTGAAATGTAATTTCAAAATGATATTTTAATTGTTTGATTGTATAATACTACTTAAAATCCTTAAAATCCTTAAATAAAGCGCATACACAATATAAGTTAAACTTTTATTTCTTTACATTAAAGTCAAATTTTGCCCTTTAGGTTTTTTAATATATATATATACTTAACCCTTATGTACTTTTTGGGGGATGTTTTTATCCACTCTGGGGTGATTTTGAGTCTTAATTTGGCCATAGATTTTTCTGTCTCAGCTAGCAGAATGATTTTTGGTGACAAAACTTATATTGACACATATTTTGACAAAATGCTTTGCAATTTTCTTAAAATCTCAACAGTATACTCTGGACAAATGTACTACCCTTTTGTTATGTTTGGGATGAAAACATCCTCTAATTTAAACTGCTGTAAAAAAGCATTAGATGAAATGTTCTTTCTTAGATTAGATGAAATGAGATGATTAGATGAAATGTTCAATCTTTTTTTTTTTTTTTTTGCATACATTTTTTACCTTTTATTAAAGTCTTGGACATGTGAAACAAAATCGCCTTTTAGGCATTGTTTTTGATTGAATTTCAGTTTTTCTCCCAAACTGGTGGCTGTTTTTGCCCCATTGACTTCCATTATAACCACATTTTTTTAAATGCAAAACCATGACTTTATATAATCAAGTATTTTTGATTGTTGGTGATTTTATCCTGTTGGGAAGAGGTAAAATCTGTCATTTTAACTGTTGATCATCAGTTGGCACCAATAAACCTTTAGATAGGCCTGTGCAAAAAAAGCTTAGTTTCTGGAGTATAAGAGCAAAGTGTTGCAACATAGGCTCATTCTGAAAACATAACCCTATATTTCTGGAGATCACGAATTACGTAGCCAGAGCTACGTATGGCTGCATTTCATCTTTCAAACGAATGCTACAGGGCAGTATGACGCCATTCCTTTTCTTGCTAACCAGCTGACCGGTTAGTTTTTCTGGTAGCTTGACACGTACGTTGGGTCAACCTGTGCTTTTCAATATACTATAGGTTAGGTTGGGCGAAGCAGTGGCGCAGTAGGTAGTGCTGTCGCCTCACAGCAAGATGGTCGCTGGGTCGCGGGTTTGAGCCTCGGCTCAGTTGGCGTTTCTGTGTGGAGTTTGCATGTTCTCCCTGCGTTCGCGTGAGTTTCCTCCAGGTGCTCCGCTTTCCCCCACAGTCCAAAGACATGCGGTACAGGTGAGTTTGGTAGGCTAAATTGTCCGTAGTGTATGAGTGTGTGTGAATGTGTGTGAGGATGTTTCCCAGAGATGGGTTGCGGCTGGAAGGGCATCCCCTGCGTAAAAAATGACTGGATAAGTTGGCAGTTCATTCTGCTGTGGCAACCCTGGATTAATAAAGGGACTAAGCCGACAAGAAAATGAAATTAAATGGGTTGGGTTTAGGGAAGGAGGAGGGTGGGGGGATAAGTCGGTTGGTCAGTCAGTCAGTGAGTTAGTCAACAGTGGCCTCTGGTGGATTTACGTAAAAAGAGCTGTTGCAAATGGCACTAAACAGCAGGAAAAATAACATGAGATGTATTCTGCTCTCTCCAGAAATGTACACTGTAAAAAATCTTGGGTTCCACATGATTCTTTCATGTTGTCCCAACACAAATTGATTAAGTTAACTCAAATATTTTTACAAATTCAAGTGGATTAAACATAAAACAATCAAGTTGTCCTCCGCAAAGACTTAAAAAATGTGTTGGTTCAACTCATATTAAATAAGCAGTTTTAACAAGCAGCAACGTAATTTATTGAGTGTATATAGGGCTATCAGAATGAGTCTGGGTTGCATTAAAGTGTGTGTATGTTTGTCTGTGAGTGTGAGAGTGACTTTTGTGCACTTGTGTCTGAGAAAACCTCAGCTCTCAGAACTACAAGGAGTAAACAAAAACAAAGACTGTATTTATGCACCAACAAATGTGGTTATACAATTGGACAGAAACAGCCGCTAGCAGTAAATTAGAGAGAAAAAATGAAAATCTAACAATGCATCAAAGCCAATGTTGTTACTAATTGTTCACATGTCAGACTGTGATACAAGGTAAAGAACTACAGTCCACAACTACTTTTTATTTTTATAATACGTCAGTGTGTGTGTTTTTTCACCAAATCAGTGACATCATTTGTGAACTTGGCAATTAAAAAGTTAAAATCCTGTAATTTTTAAAAACATAGTAGTTTTGATCAGGACTGAGGTTGATTGACAAATTTATGCAAGAAAAATTAAAAAATATATTTATCTTATGCATTTCAGCAGTATAATAACTCTATAGTTGAAAATAAAATTCTTACTCTGCCTGTGTGACTTGATTTAAAGTATTTAAGATAAGTAAATTATAAGTAACTTATTAAATGATCTAAAAAATCAATAGCAAACTCTTACTTTTCAGTAAATAAGCCATTTAATTACAGTAAATAGTTACATTGTAATGAATTATGCTTGAATGAATTATATTTGATGAATACAAGTATTAAATATTGTTTTTAAAACAGTTCTAAACGTTTAAGCATTTTAATTTGCATTTCACAATGTAACACATTAACAAAAGCATTGAAATACTTAAAGCAAACAGTTATTTCATCAACCAACCTTCTTGTCTGTGTTTCAGCTGCTGGACTGCTTTATTATCCCAGTTTTAATGATCTTGTCCTGGTTCTTCCTGAAGACCCGCTACAGGATCATTCATTATGCAGCTGTAGGCATCTGTCTGGCCGGGGTGGGAGCCATGGTGGGAGCAGACATCCTCGCTGGACAAGACCAGGGATCATGTGAGGAGCAAGATGCTTCTCTGGAACAAAATCAGCTACAAAACTTTGTATAAGTCAAACCATAATCATTCCTGTGTCTGTCAACAGCCAGTGACGTGCTCCTGGGTGATGGTCTGGTTTTAGTTAGTGCCACTCTGTATGCCATCTCTAATGTGTGCCAGGAATACACAGTGAAGAATCTGAGCCGGGTGGAGTTTCTGGGGATGGTTGGCCTCTTTGGGTCTATTATCAGCGCAATCCAACTGTGAGTTTGGTTCTGAAAAATTACAAAATACTCCCTAAAGCGATAGTTCACCCAAAACCGAAAATTTTATCATGGTTTATTCTCAGGTTGCAAAGATATTTAAAGGTGCTGTATGTAGTTTTTGACTCATCTAAAGAATGAAAAATAATATAATATTTTTGCAGATATTTAAGATACATGAACATACTTGTTTATCTTAAAAACAAAGCTAAAGTCAAATATTTTGCTTTAAAAATGTGTTTTCCGTGTCAGAACGAAATGGTAAGGGTTATAATCTATTTAATACATATAAACCCACTTTAGCATTACTAAATTTACATGCTGAATCACTCATATGTGTTTAGTTCTAAAGTTTAATTTCAAACAGTTTATTTTATTTTCAAAACCTGAGGTGAACTATCTGCTGCTGCTTTCAGTAGTATGGCAATAAATGTCATGTAAAATGGCATTCAAACTCACATTGTTACGCCTGTTTCACACCGCAAGCGTCAGCGGCGCGTGAGCAGAGCGTGAGCAGCGCGTGTGTTTTCGGCGTCCATGTTAACAGATTAGAGCTTTCATACCGCACGCAGCAGCAGCGCGTCAGAGCGAGGCGTGAGCGTCGCCGAAGCAGCAGTGCAGCGATAGTTTCGGCGCTGAGTCTATTTTTGACGCACTGCTCACGCTCAAAGTGACAGTGCATTGATAATGACCAAAACACATTGAATGACAGTAAAAAGTAGCAATTTTACCCAATACATGCGTTAATAATGTCAAATGATTTATATATATCATTCAAATGTACTTAAAACGATTAAAAAACGGCAACAAACATTTATTTAGGCCCGAACTACAAAACCAAATGTAAAACCATTTTAGTATCAGTTTCGCTTAAGTTGCACGCTAGTGTTTAAGGAGAGGGGAAATAGAATATTTACGGGATTTGTAGTCTATAGCGAAGTGTATTGTGGGTAGTGTAGTTCGACACGCATACTGGATTATGTGAGCTCGCTGTGTTCTGTGCAGCTGAGCAGAGCAAGAAAGTTTAATCGGCTTTGTTTTATGTTCACTCGAGTTATTCCTACCGGGAGCTGTTTGCACTGTGAATCTGACAACACGAAAATAAGTAAAAGAATGGCATGCATTGGTTACTTTTGTCCGTCTCATCATCTGCACGAGCATGAATTAACGAGCTGTTATTCTGCCGCTGGACATCACTGAAGCGGAGAAAGTAACACTAGTTTGATCATGTATAAATATCATTATAACTATATTGTATAAATATGATTATAACTAGGTCTACAGCAACCTAATATTTCAAAAAACAAATGACATGATATCACAGACGATTGTCTTCTGACTGTAGACACTTCTCATATAAGTTAGCTTGAGAAGCATACAGTACTATTGGATCTATAAAATTCGTAAAATAAAGATTTGCAGGTTAAAGAAACAGCATAGGAGGGGCTTTGGTGCAGATGAAAAGTTTAAAAAGTGTATTTGTATACAGAGAGACATGGGTAACTAGGTAGAATAGACAGAGATAGGTTGATCTCTGCAGCAGCTGCCGAAGAGCTGCGTGCTGCAGACGCAGCTGGTGTGAAAGTCAAACGCCTGCGTGCTGCTAATGCTCGACATACGCGCTGCGCACGCTCTGCTCACGCGCTGCTGACGCTTGCGGTGTGAAACAGGCGTTAGCATTTAACACTAAATAAAGCACATGAGGTGTACCTGTGGTAATCATTGTCAGTTTTCTATTGTTAACCTGCGAGAAATATAACCTGTTTCTAACATACCAATTTGAGGTGTTGGTTAGGACAAAAACTCCTTTTAATATTAAAAATATTAATTATATCGGGTGCCGTTGCTTTTATTTAGAACTTGGTTTAAATCACTCACTCCTGTCCTCAATCCGGCAACCTAAGCTTGCGTTTGTTTTGATCCAGGAATGCAATACCTAGTTCAACCACTGGGTGTCAAACTTACATACTGCACCTTTAAGTTCGTTTTTCTACTGTTAAACACAAAGGAAGATATTGTTAAGAATGCTGGTGGAGAAACAGTCATTGATAGAGACAGAATACATAGGCTATTTCCATACTAGAAGGAAAACAATCCAATCCTCTCCATTGACTTTCTATGGAGGGAATCTGCCACGCTGTCATTCCTAAATAATTACAAAAAACTAAACAATCCACAAAAGCAGCTGTGTGACATGGTGTACAGCAGACAAAACGAAGAAAACAGAACTAAGTTTTTATAAACTACAAACTGTAAAAACCAGCTATTTAAGGGGGACAATACATGTAGATATAGGTGGACGTGAAGCACCGTCAGCTCAAATAATGAGAAAATTGTGGGGATCCTGGCACTCTGTATGCCTCTGTGAGGAAAAAGCAGTCGCCTAAAGTTATTTGCGAGTGCCATAATTTAGCTAACAGCTTTTCCCACCAATGTTTGGTGAAAAAATAAAGTTGTAAATATTAAAATGTTTCATGTTGAGCCATTCAAATGGATCATTTCTCCAACAAAAGGCCCAGGTAAGAAAATCTAAGGGCTGACATGGACCAATAAAGTTTAGTTTTTTTATATATCTCCTCTTCACAGGTTCTCATAGAGTGCTGAGTAATCGTTGTAACATGGTTAAGAATAATGAATGTTTCCTGTTGTGGGTTAAGTTACATTCCAACAGGTGTAAAGCAAGCTCTTTAATAATACACACCGTGCCCTGCTTTTGTGTCCTTCAATTTTTTTTTTTTTTTTTTTTTTGAGGTAGTGAAGGGGGTTTAGGAGAGTATATTAATCAACAGCTTTTAAAAATGTAGTTGTGTATTTAGCTTAGCTTGCTTACTCTGAAACTTTTTTTAATTCGTTTTTGCAATATAACACAAACACAACAAGGCAAAATTCCAAAAAAACGATTAACAACTTTTTTAATTAACAAGAATATTGTTTAATATAAACTGAATATTAACATCTTTCCCTAAAAAAAAAAGTATATATATATATATATATATATAGATAGATAGATAGATAGATAGATAGATAGATAGATAGATAGATAGATAGATAGATAGATAGATAGATAGATAGATACAATTTTTAGAAAACTGGGAGGACAACTTGAGCGAAACTTTTAACCACCATTAAAATAAATCAAACCAGAAAGTTCATATAAATATTAAAAAAAATTATGTGCTGTCGTTTCAATGTCAACCTCACAGGATGTACAATTGCTGTGATCTAAATTAAATCTATGTCTAAGAAACACTGAAGATGAGTAAATATCCTTGAATATTTTAAAGTGTACTTCTTTAGCTTTGGAGGTATGGGGAAGGAAAGAAACATTGCTTTTAATTCGACCTTACTCTGAAACTTGTCACATAGCAGTTTTAGCAGTTAAGCTTATTTTGTTCGCCAGAAATTCACCCCCAATGCAAAGTCAATGGAGTAGGTTGGATTGTCCATCAGTTTTTGATTCATCAGGTCATCATCAGATTGTCTCTTTAGTATTTTTTGTTCCTAATATGGTTGTCAATGGTTACTTTTTAAACATTCTTCAGAATATCTTGTTTTGTGTTTAACATGCAGAAAATAAAAATTAAGATAAAACATTACAACAACTTGACCGTGAGTAAATGAGGACATTTTTATATTTTTGGGGTGAACTGTCCCCTCAAGTCAACACCACATCATTTGTTTAATTTGGTCACTTGCAGAGGGATTCTAGAACATAAAGAAGTGGCTAACATTCAGTGGACATGGGAAAAGGGTAAAGTATGGGTTCTAATGCCATATGAAAATGCTTACCCGTTGTGTCAGTGATGTCATTTTATTGTTTTTCTCTCAGCTCTTCTCTTGTCTGGATATGCGCTCTGTATGTACGGCTTCTATAGCTTCATGCCTGTGGTGATAAAAAGGAGCAGTGCCACAGCGGTTAACCTTTCCTTACTCACCGGAGACCTCTTCAGCCTGTTCTTTGGGCTCTTTTTGTTCCATTATAACGTGAGTAAAGTAATTTATTCAGATTGTCTTTGATCAGTCTGCTTACTTAAATAAAAGTTGCTTCTGATTGGCTGATAGGGATATTTCTTAACTTAACAGAGGATCTGATGTTCGGAAACTTTGTAAAAGGGTTTTGTTAAATATACACAATGGGGGAAATAAGTTTTAAATATGTCAAGTTTTTTCCTAGTGGACAAGTACAGATTTTGGTAAAAACCCATACAATACAAACATAAAAAATAATACAAAACAAAAAATAAATACATAAATTGTGTTATAATAGTGTATGTGTAATAATGAAATGACAAGGAGAAAGTGCTGAACTACTGAAATGTATTTAATATTTTATATAAATGGCTTTTTTGGTGATGGCAGCTTAAAGACGCCTCTCATTGGGAGAATGTGGTCACATGCTCAGGTGTGATGTTTTTACAGACTTCAACAGACTTCAGTTTAAAAATCTGGCTGGTTCTGTGGGTATGGTCTATCAAATCTGATCTTTAGTTTGTATTTTATATTGGATTTAAGTCAGGTGAATGGATGGGCCATTCTACAGCTTGATTTTCTTTCTCTAAAAGAATTTAAGAGTTTCCTTCATTGTCTTGCTGAAATGTCCACCCTGGTTTCATCTTCATCATCCTGGTAATGTAGATGTCGAAGTGAAGCAGCTAATATTAATTTACAATGACAAAGGGCAGAGGGTTGCTGAAGAACTAATGAAATATTTAAGCTGCTGTCTGGGCTTTCACTGCCTTTCTACAGCTCCTTTTTTCATGTGTTAAATACTTTACTTCTCTGTCATTTCATCACATAACAACTTCATTAGTAAACTAATTTTAAACTTATTTAATTTTTTTTAAACTAGTTTTGTTTTCTTTGCATAAATGGATTTCTTTGGTTGGTACCAAAAATTTCAAGTCAACAGCACCTTTAGAAATATGTTTTCTGAGAAAAATGATGATGTATTCAATACTTATTTCCCCTACTGTATGAAAGAGTTCTCATACAGCAAGCTTGTTGACACTGGAATATTAAAAATAAAAATAACCTTCAGGCACTTAATGTAAAGCATTTTTTTTATCGTCTGTAGACTCATGTGATTTTATCCTGGACTTTCCCACTAGAATACTGTGTGCATGATTCAGCATCAGTCTCTCCACCCAAACCCAAAAATCCTTTAAAGTCCTTTAAACCACGTGCTTAGGCTTACATCAAAAATAAAATGAGCTAAGGTATGCTAAAAAATTATGCAATAATACATTTACTCCACTTTTTCCGATCAACCTTTAATCTAATTAATGAAGAACATGACTGCAGTTTCTAAGTAAAAAAAAACAAAACACTACTGGTCAGTATAATGACTTCATCTTGTGTTTCTTTTAAAACTAAGAATTTTTCACAGGGCCATGTTACCAACAAATACAGAATTATTTCTGAGCAGTTTTTTGCACAACACCAAACATATGCCACAAAACACCTTAATGTTGTCTATGATTTGTAATCAACTACATTTGCCTCAACTGCCTATCTCCATATAGACAATTTCTGGTTTGCTGAATTATACACATCCACTTGTTAAGTGGTGACGTATGGAGCACTGTTTCTGGAAATAAGCCACAACTCATTTGAATGGACTTTTAGTCCACTTTTTAGTCACGTCACACATTGAAGTGAATTTTATATAAAATCATGGTGTACACAACAGTGTCTGGACTTGCTGCATCACAGACACCAATAGTTTAATAATTTCTTCAAGAGGTAACACTTAGCTCATGATTTATGCATAGCTTGTTTGGCATGCTGTCCCGGGAAAGAGCCCTGAGCTCAATGGATCCTCGAGCCCCTTGCAGGGTGAGGGGAGATTGAGCTCAGGTTGATCTCAAACTCCGCCGCTGCTGAGGCCAAGGCGAACTTCCTGAAAGTGAGATATTATAAAAAGGTTTAGGCTTATCAATAATATAGAGGACATTTGGATGGTGGGAGGAAACCGGGGAACCCGGGGGAAACCCACGCAGCCACAGGGAGAATATGCAAACTCCACACAGAAATACCAAATGGCTCAGCGAGGACCCAACACCACTGGTATTCTTGCTGTGAGGCAACAGTGCTAGTCACTGAGCCACCGCGCCGCCCATTCTGTATAAAGGAGGAAGTAGGGGAGGAGGGGGGTTTCTTCCAGACGAAGATAGTTGTAGAAAGGAAATAAGGATATATATATAGTGACTTGGGATCCTTTGATTGGAAGATCATGATTAGCTAATGTGGACCAGCTGGGTCAATCATAAGCACATGCTCCTCTCGAAATTAGTTTAAAAATTAAACTTCACTAAAAAAAATGACACACTTTCTGGACATCTGATATTAGTTTGATAGAGCGCTTGGACCGAATAGGGTCTGTCTGCGAACTGTAAGACAGGGCGTAATAAAATGTAGTCGGCAAGATGGCGTTGTACATCAGTTAATAACATCTACACCTACTCCACACCTAAACCCAACCATCACAGTTATTAACGTCTATACCTACTGTACCACAACCCTAAACCCAACCATCACCGTTTTAAATGTCTACACCTTCCCCAAACCTAAACCCAACCATCACAGTGATTCATACTATACCCAACCCTTAAACCAACCATCACAGTTGTTAATGTCTACACCTTCCCCAACCATCACAGTTATTAACACCTATACCTACTGTACTACAACCCTAAACCCAACCATCATCGTTATAAACGTCTACACCTTTACAAACCCTGAACCCAACCATCACAGCTTTTAAATTAAAGGCTTGAGTTGCAGAAGCTTCATACTTGATGCTGTTTATACTTGATGCACTCGCCATTGTGCTGTTATTTGTAACCGCATGGGGTGACGCCTACTAAAACGGATGAAGAAGTTAGGAGTTGCATGTTGAATGAATTTAATAATATAGCTAATTAAATGGTTGTGGATAAATTTGGAGAAAATACTTGTAAGTATTTCCGACATCTTGCCAACAACATTTCGCTGTGACATCTCGCATGATTCAATGGGATCTCGAAAACTACAAGTTACGCCTCTTCATCTTACACCCCCGTCTTGCAGTCCGCAGACAGATACACTTGCTTGGACCTGGAAGTCGCTTTGTGTGACATCACACTTAACAAGCAGATAACAAAAAACACCCTATAGAACTTTTTTTCAGATTCACAAAAATGTAGACAGCGCCCTCTAGTGGATTAGTGCAACTGGAGCACTGTATTTTACATTCTGCTAAAATATAGGCTGAGGTACATATTTCTAATGAGCCTGGGTTGGTTTTCTTAACTTGCATTGTGTTTGAGCTCTCTCAGCCACTGTAGCCTTCTGCATATGTCCCTCCAGATTTATCTTTGTTTAGACAATTTCTAGATGTTGTTTATTTCATACAAATGGTGTAATAAAAATGCATAATTTTTCAGTCCATCCTCACCTCATGTGTTGTTCCTCAGTTCTCAGGCTTGTACATCGTGTCGTTGGTGGGAATCCTCATTGGGTTCATCATGTTTAACACCGTTCCGACGTTAAGCAGACTTTCTGACCCGCTGTCTGATGAAGAAGGTGTTGACAATCACACAGCGGACACTGACAACAACAGTATTGAAGGCTGTGAGGGAGAGATCAGCTGTGCACATGCAGAGCAGAGAGAAACACCACCAGCATGTGCCGTCATAAACAGTGTCAAACTCTAGTCTCCATCAATTCTGTTCACTTTTCATAGTTTTTAATATAATGTTATGTTAACATCAAACAAGTGACATTGCACACTGAGTGCAAGTAAATGTTTAGAAAAGCGATCACCAGTACTGGCCTGGAGGGCCAGTGTCCCTGCAGGGTTTAGCTCTAACTTGCCTCAAACACACCTGCCTGGGTGTTTCAAGTATACCTAGTAATAGCTTGATTAGCATTGTCAGGTGTGTTTAATTAGGGTTGGCGATAAAATCTGCAGGACACCGGCCCTCCAGGAACAAGTTTGGTGACCACTGGTTTAGATCATGACCCCATACATTTTTTGATCATATATTTTGTGTTTAATCATATACTGCATTGCCATATTCACTGTAAAATATCTGCTAGTTAACAGGTTACTTTCACATGGTGTTTTCTGTTTTTTTACAGTTCTGAATTGCATTATGGGATCTGGATCATGCTCTGTCAAATTTTAAATATTGAAAATTCAACACTGCAGATGAACAAGTTTGAGACAATATATTATTTAAGAAATAATACAGAGAGAATTGAGATATTTAAAATAACTAATAAAGTATGGGCAGTTTGTTACCAGGTTTTTGTAGCGTAATCCTGGGCCTATCACTTCAAACCTTTCAACATCAAAAGCCTTAGGAGGAAAAATCAAGATCCCAGAATGCAAGTCATAAATAAGTGGAAAACAACATCAATCACCAAATACGGAAAACTGTTCATTTAAAAGTATTTTTTTACAGTGCACTCTCAGAAATAATGGTACACGAGCTGTCACTGGGGTGGTACCCTTTCAAAAGATACAGGGTTGTACTTAAACGGTGCACATCGGTACCTTAAGGTATATATTAGTACCTCTAGGTTTTAAGAGGAACATTTTTGTACTTATAATAAGTAGCCTTAAGGTATTAATATGGACCTTTTAGGTACAAATTTGCACCTTTTGATAAGGTACCACCCCAGTGACATCTCACGTACCTTTATTTCTGAGAGTGTGGAGTAGTAAAACAAAATTATAAGCTCTGGGAATTTTTTTTATAAATATTTCTCAAGGGCATAGCGTAAAGCTTGTATTTGTTACCATTTATCCAGACTCATGTGATCATATCCTGGACTTTTCCACCAGAATATTATATAAACATTGTCCAAACTCCAAAACTGTTCGAACATCTAAACTCCAAAACTGAAGTCCTTTAAAGCACAAGTGAAGAATTGGGTTGCATTTATCAGCTCGTAATACTCTGCACGATTGATTCAGACTGTGAGGACTCATTTTGTGGGCTGATGTTTGTTTGATTTCTGCTGGATGAACAGCGGGGCTGAATATGCTAATGAATCATGTGGTTTTGCTCTGTAATCTCATGGCATTTGTACTTTGCCTGGAAAGTCTTGCATTCCCAGATGTTCTCCACAAAACTCCTCTGTTTGTCTTTTAGATTATTGTTGTTATATGCTGATTATGGAAGGCATTTGCAGTTTAGAGAAGATCTAAAAGAATAATAAAGTTGCGCAATAAACACCACTTGTGCATCAGTTTGACTGAATATTAAGATGTAAAACGTCCCTCCTTCCACTTTTAGAAGTCATGAAAATAGCTTAGAATCACTATGATGATTTCTAGTAGTCAGATGATACTTTTTCCAGCATTTAAAATAAAGCAAAAAACCCTTCGAAGAAACACACTGAAAAAATGATCTGTTGGATTTACTAAATATTTTAAAGGTAACTGATTACAAACAATTTGGGCTGAATTTAAACACCAATAAAATTGAGTAATGTTTAACTTAATTTGTGTTTAAATTCAGCCCAAATTGTTTGTAATCAGTTACCTTAAAAATATTTAGTAAATCCAATGAATCATTTTTTCATCGCATGGTAGGGTGATGTCAATTGATGTAACCAGTATCTTTCATAAATAAAATAATTATACACGAAAATACATGCAAAATGAAGTTTATTTTGCCTAATTTAGTGTATTAAAATTGCTTTTAAATAATGTTAGTCAAATATTATATAGATATCAGATGTTTTCAGCATATGTCCAGACAAATGTTGCAAAAGCTCATTAAACTGTACATTTAGCGATTATAACTCGTGAAATACATTTTCTTGTGCTATTTTCAAAAAAGTACCAGGTTGGACCCGCTTTTGCCTTCAGAACTGCCTTAATTCTTTCTGGCATAGATATAACAAGGTACTGGAAATATTCCTCGAGATTTTGCACCATATTAACAGTTGCTAAAGATTTGTTAGCTGCACATCCATGATGCAAATCTCCTGTTCCACCATATCCCATTTGAGATCTGGTGACTGTGAAGGTCATTTAAGTAGTGAACTCATTGTCATGTTCAAGAAACCAGTCTGAGATGATTCACGCTTTATGGAATGGTGCGTTATCCTGCTGGAAGTAGTCAACAGAGGTTGGGTACACTGTGGTCATAAAAGGTCCGACCCATGCTTTCAGTTGTTGACGCTAAATTGTGACATTACCAACCGAATGTCACAGCAGAAAATCATCAGAGACTCATCAGACCAGGCAACGTTTTTCTAACCTTAATTGTCCAATTTTGCTGAGCCTGTGTATATTGTAGCCTCAGTTTCTACATACCTCGGTTGTAATGTGTTGAGTGGTAATTTGACTTACTGTTGCCTTTCTATCAGCTCCAGCCAGTCTGGCCATTTTTCTCTGACCTCTGGCATCATCAAGGCATTTGTGCCCACAGAACTGCCGCTCACTGGATATTTTCTCTTTTCAGATTCTTCTCTGTAAACCCTAGAGATGATTATGCCCGAAAATCCCAGTAGATCAGCAGTTTCTAAAACACTCAGACCAGCCAATTTTTGGCAGCAGTTGCATCATTTTACAGTTTTAGATATTCTTAACGTTTATAAAAAAAATACACAATAATCATTAATAATTTTTAATTACATAAAATCAACATAAATATACTTTCTACTCTTGAAAGATGCTTTTTTAAAGTTTTTTTTTTCATTTCCAAACCTTATTTTATCATTGACTTGTATTTTAATGATCGTGCAAAATCTATGTTACATGTTATTTGTGTCCGTGTTGTTTAGATTTTTCCTTTTTACTTTATAAAAATAAAGCCGAAAAGAAAATGAATGAACAAAAAAGGCAAAAATAAGTAATAATAATCAGACAAACCTTTACAAAATCAATTGTGTCTGCTGTTTTACTCCCAATTCTGTAAAATGACAATGACAAAGCAATAAATAAATGTATCAAGAGTTTTTTTTTATTCAACATTTGTTCTTTTATTTATTTTTGCTCCTCTCATAACATAATTGACAGTTAGGTCTATACGCAGCCCCAAATTTACAGGCTATATACAACTTGAACTTTCTCCATAGGGAAAACACACTATATATACGCATATATATATATATATATATAATATCAGTGTGGAAAGAGGTCTGAAAAGTCGCCCCAACATATATATTTATATATAACTGTACATGGTCCCAGAAAATTTAAAAAGAACATATTTTTAAAAGGTCAGCACAGAAACAGGAATCATCCATCTACATGCCAAAACAGCCACGACAATTTGTCTAAGAATGTGTACATCCTACAGAGTGTAAATACACAAAACTAACTGACAACCTAAATAAAACGTAAAATAAAAGCTCATTCTCTCTCTCTCTCTCTCTCTCTCTCACACACACACACGTACGTACAAAACACACACACAAACAAAGAAAGCAAATCAAATGCAGGGACTCTTGCGCAACACAATGCTAGTGTGATTTGTAAACCTGGTTTGGGACAACAGACTGGATCACAGTGTTAGTTTAAAGTTGTATTCCTTGCTTTTTTAATCTACCTGCAGAAGTGTGTCTGGCTCAATAAAGAAATCTTCCCATCCACGCATAATTCCTCCATTTCTCACACTCACACAGCTGTCCTGAAGCTTAAAGATGTTCATTAAAGAAACATGAGGTCACATCCATCCACATTTCACTTGCACCGTAATATTATTAAAGGGATCGTTCACTCAAAAATTTTAAATCTAGCTTTATTAGTTTCTTCACAAAAGAAGATAGTTTGAAGAATGTTAGAAATCGATAACCATTGACTTCCATAGTATTTGTTGTTCCTACTATGGACATAGCGTTGGGCCAATAAACGATATTATATCAAACCGCAATAACATTCATGTCAATAACAAAGATAAGCTCTGGACTTTTTTACTCTATATTGATCTAAGAGCCAATCACACAGCAGAAATGTGCAACAATGGGAATCTAAAAGTGTGTTGATATTAAAGATGTATCGAATTTTTGGCCACCGAAAAGTCAATCGTAACAGGTTTACAACATTTTTCTAAATATCTTCTTTTGTGTGCAATTAAAAAAGAAATTTAAACTGGTTTGGAATGAGTAAATATTAAGTAAATAATGTCCGAATTGTTGGGTGAACTAGCCCTTTAAATCACAAACAGACACATACATAAAGCTTCTGTGATGTATTTGCCACACACACACACACACACACATACAATCACACACACACAATTATGAATGCGTGTCATTTTAACTTATTTGCTACATGAAAACGTTCTGCACATGTAATCTCCGACATTAATCACCAGTGGCGAGATGAAGGCATTGAATGTGATGGAATACATTCAGAGAGACTTCCAGAACAATGTTTGCGCCAGCGAATGATTGTGTTAGCACTCGACGGATGTGAATTCATACTAGCGCACAGCTCAATTGAAGAAGGTGGCCTTGTTAGTGAATAAGTTAAGAGTGCATTTGCAACAAGAGCACAATAGAGGGCGACTGTGCAGCATTGAACAGGACTCCAGATCGACGAGGTTAAAGGCACTGCTGTCAGATTCCCGATGACCCACGTGACTGTCACACAACAGTAGTGTCTATGCCAGCTAGAGCACTACAGATAAGAAATCATGTAAACTCCGCAAAAGAAAGAGAGAAACATCTCACATATGCTCCAGGTGTCAAAAATGAGAGGTCAACTTGTGTGATTGACTACTAAACGAGGAAAAAACCTAAACTAATCTTGTTTTAGGAGGGTTTGTTTGTAACTGTTTCCCTCAGAAGCGTCGTCTTCTGAAAGTATTGTCATTTAGGCTATATTAAAGTGATGGACTACCCAAAAAAATTAAATTTACTCACCATTTATTCTCCCTCGTGTGGTAACGAAACTTTCTTTTTTCTGTTGAACACAAAAGAAAATAATTTTTTAAGTGTTGGAAACCGCTAGCCGTTTATTGTTAACATACTATGGAGGTCAAGCATCTACTGGTTTCCATTTGCTTGTGTTCGACAAAAAAAGGCTTAAAACAAGTAGAGGGAGAGTAAATGAAGACCAAACTTGTATTGTAAATATCATAACTTAAAAAAATCATTCTATAGTTAAAAAATAATAATGATTCGAAACAATCTTTTTTGCTGTGTAATTTTGATGCTACTGTACGTCTTGCATCAACTACAGTGGTAAAACATGACATCATGCTGTCCAGGTAAGTTGATATTAAAATGCTGATTCCCCCTCAAATTTATTCACTCTCATGTTTTTTGCAAACATCTACGACTTTTCTGCAAAATATAAAACGATGTTGTGTTCGAAATCAAACAAACGCTGAAAAACTGTATGCCAAAAGAGCAGTACATCCAAATGAATATAAAAAAGTAGGCGAAAAGTACCCTAATGCAAGTATGCCCAAAAATCATTCATATTAAGCATATTCATACTTAACACAAACATTCATTCAAATTCAAACAAACGACATACTGCGACAACATTCCATGCACAGCTAAACTTTTTTGTTAGGCGCACTGAAAGATAACAGGGTGTAAAAACACATTGGACCCTATTGACTTTTAGTGTATATCAAATAAACTAATCATATTCAAGCTTTGCAGAAGAAAGTTAGTCAGGTTGAAACAACATGAGGCTGAATAAATATATATATTTTTGGTCTACATCAGACACCAGACAGTACACTAAACCTGGTCTAGCAGGAGCATTCACATGAGGTGTGCTGTTAGTGTGAGGTATAATGGGGCTGCCTTTAAAACCAGTAGTCACACATTATAGGCTGGCTGACAGTCAATTTAGGCTGGGATCGGACCACAGTTTCATCAAAACACACTTCTCTAGCGCTCTGAACTGTGCCCACACATACACGTAGAACATATCTTGTCTTATATAATCACTATATAGTATTAGACATTCAATAAACTCTTTGTGTCGCTTTAGATACTTTCTTTTCCATTTGGAATGTACTGTAGCTTTATAGTGTCTGCAGTCTTGAATGGGGCGGAAGTGTCTTTGCGTGATTGGTCAGCGCTTTAGGCCAGCTTTAGCGTGCTGACTGGGAAGGAGGGCATGGTCACCATGGTGACCGGATTCAGGACGGTCTGGCCCACCAGCTGAGGGTGATGAGCGACGACTTGCGCGCCCACCGGCGTCTGTTTGGCCATGATGGCGGCTTGCGCGGAGGGTGCAGCCGTGCCGTTGATCTGGGCATGAGAGAGTGTGTGCGCGATGTGGCTCATGACCGCCGGCTGCGTGACGGTGACCGGCTGAGGGTAGATTCCTGGCAGGTGGGCGACAGTGATGTGGCTGATGGATTGAGGTCCGGGTGCCAGCTGAACGGGGCTGGAGGAGGAAGGAGCGATATGGGCCATGTGTTTGGATGCGGGCTGAATGACGTGGTTGACTGTTTGGATGACGGAGGCATGTGACGCTGATCCCGCATGGGCGATGACTGAGGGCTGCAGGCTGGCAGCGGTCACTATATGGGTGTGGGCTGGAGGTAGGGTTTGGGGAGCAGGAGCAGATGCCAGGCCATTAGGAGTTGAGGATAAAGTTGTGATCGGGGTGGCTGCGGCAATGGGGGACAATTGAGCCGAGGGCATGGGGAGTTTAGACTGTTTATGTGGGATATGGATGTGTTGTGTTAGAAGGGACGACAAGGGGTGAGATTTCTTTAACTCGGGCTGAAGCGCAGCAGGCACTTTGGGTAAGGCGGTGGGCATGGAGGATAAGCTGTCGTCATCGATGTCTTCATCAAAGTTGTCTTCACCTTCTGTAGAGATTGACAAAACAAAACAAAAAAAAGATTTCTTTTAGTTAAAAAAGGATAAAAATGAGTGGCTTTTGCTTGATTTGTATTAGATTTTAATCAATGTAGTGTTCTTTTATAAGTGTTAGCAGAAAGCTAGTGTTGGTAAGATTTAATAATTCAATTCAAGTTTACTTTTGTAGCCCTTTCACAATAATTAATGCATGATCCTCCTGAAATCATTCTTATATGCTGATTTGGATCTCAAGAAACATTTCTTCATCAACTATGAGCTGCTTTATATCTTTGTGAAAAACGTGTAAGAAGTTTTAGTTGACTATAGGGTTCAGAGGAAACAACATTTATCTGAAATGCCTTTAAAATTGTGTAATTAATGGTTGTGTATGCAAAAATGTACACACACTCTATTATGAACAGATTAAGGATAGCGATTACTTCATAATATACATAATGTTAATCAAACTTAAAGACGATAAGTATTTAGAAATCAAAGCAATTCTACCTGCTTGCTACAGTAAAGGATTTGGACATTGGCTGCTGCTGCTGCTCATTTATGTGCTAAAGAGATCATTAAGGCAGCATGTGTGCACACAATTTTAAAATGAAGACCAAGAGAACTGACATCTGGAAGAGAGACATACTTTTGTGTGCATATGTGATTCAAATACCTATTTAAATAACTTGTTGATAAATCCCTTTTTTATTGTCTTCGCAACTTCAACTAACAAAAGCAATCATTATAGGAACATTTTTCATTTCCATGGACAGCGTTTTGCAGGATTTACCAGAGGCAGTGGAGGTAGAGGCCTGGTCATCATCAGGCTGGACGGTCTGTCGGAGAAGGCGGTCGATCTCCATCACGTCCAGTCTCTGGCTCAGCTCGTTCTTCAGCTCAGCCAATCTCTGCTGCAGGGCGATCTTCTCCCGTGCTAGACGCTCCATCTCATGCTCATAGTCCTTCTCCTTCCTCTTCAGCGTCTGTGGGAAATATGGAGAAATACAGAACATTCAGAGCTGGCAGGTGCACTGAAAATGTGTAAAAGGCACAACTTGAAGGATTCAATGTCAGCTCACCGTGCAGGAAAGTCAACATATAATACATTCCCTGTCACTTAGAGGTGGTGCTGTTTTCCTTCATACACCTCTCTTATTAAAGAAGTCTAGCTAAAGCGAAAGTAAAACAACACAGAAAAAAAAGGAACTGGTGAGAGACACAAACAGCTGGATGAGTTACAACTTGAAACAAAAATACATGTTGTTACACTGTTGGTATCATGTTCACAAACTAGAAATGCAGAATAGTTTAATGAATCCAGTGTTTCTTTTGGTTAAAAAAATACATAATTACAATATAATTTTTTAAATTTATGTTTATTTCCGTTTTTATACACACACACGCGTGCGTACACACACAGAGAGAGAATTGTTAGTGCCAAGTAACACAATTTACCACAATAGTTTATATAATTATTTATGTATAATGTATTGTATACACACTTTCCATTCATAAAATGGGTACATTTTACAATGCTTATTTTATATGCTTAATGCTTATTTTATTTTTATATTTTATATATTATATTTATATTTTATATATATATTATTTTTATATTTTTATATTTTATATGCTTAATGATTTTTTTTATTTAATTCATGGAAGCATAACATACATAGTACTTTATGTATTAATTATTATTAACATATTATATTACATTATTACACTGTACATGATGTGTGTATATGTATATATAATACCAATGTATTTATGAAGTGAGAAAGTATATTACAATCATACTACATTACATTCACCAGCCACTTTGTATGGTGAAAAGCATGTCTGAATGCACAACACTTCCAACCTTGAGGCGTATGGGCTACAGCAGCAGAAGACCACACCGGGTGTCACTCCTGTCAGCTAAAAACAAGAAACTGAGGCTACAATATACACAGGCTCACCAAAACTGGACAACAGAAGATTGGTAAAACGTTGCCTGGTCTGATGATTCTCGATTTCTGCTGCAACATTCGAATGGTAGGGTTAAAATTTAACGTCAACAAAATGAAAGCATGGATCCATCTAGTGGTGATGGTTTAATGTTGTGGGGGATATTTTCTTGGCACACTTTGGGCTCATTAGTACCACTTGAGGCTTGAGCAAAATGTCAATGCCACAGCCTACCTGAGTATTGTTGCTGACCATGTCCTTCACTTTATGACCACAGTGTACCCATCTTCTTGTTATGACTAGTTTCAGCAGTATAACACACCATGTCATAAAGCGCAAATGATCTCAGACTGGTTTCTTGAACACCTCCACAGTCACCAGATCTTAATCCAATAGAGCACTATTGGGATGTGGTGGAATAGGAGATTCGCATCATGGATGTGCAGCCGACAAATCTGCAGCAACTGTGTGATGCTATTATGTCAATATGGACCAAAATCTCTGAGGAATATTTCCAGTACCTTGTTGAATCTATGCCACGAAGCATTAAGGCAGTTCTGAAGGCATAAAGGGGTCCAGTTCGGTACTAGTAAGATGTACCTAATAAAGTGGCCAGTGAGTGTAGTACTTACAGCTATTACATGTCTCCAGAATAAAAAAATTCAATTAAAAAAATAACCCTTCAGTCAGTATATTACTGAAGACCCTTTACATCTTGCTCATGTTGTCTTTTACACCAGCAATATCTTTCTCATATCCTGATCAATGCTGCTGATAATAATGTCATCTAGTGTCAAACTAAAAAAGCCTTCAGTGAATTTCCCAGACCACTAAGCATGAAGGAGGTCACATGCTTGTTCTCTGTAAGTGTGTGTAATCATCTATGCGAGTTCCTGCTTCTTCCTGGATGTCTGTCTGTATCTAGCACACACATAGATACACACACACTCACACACACACACACACACACACACACACACACACACACACACACACACACACACACACACACACACACACACACACACACACACACACACACACACACACACACACACACACACACACACACACACACACACACACACACACACACACACACTCCTCCCCCACTGTTTTTTGAGCCCTGCCTCTGCCGCCCTCTAGTACTCACACAAACACGTGGATCAGCCAAGGCATGACAGCCCCGCCCACTTCTGGGAAGACATTCAGTGGGAGGAGCCCATGAAAAAAAAGCTTGGCCAATCACGAGAGTACATCTGTGTACTGCGAGTGTGCCAAACGAGACTGCACCTCTACCTACCCACAAATAAACATATAAACACACAGATAGCGATCCAGCTTCACAAACATGAAGTGAACTGGAGATTAAAGAAACATGAAGCTCTGAACGCACACATATACACAGAATGAGAGGGAGGAACAGACAGCGCACACGTGCGCACACACACACACACACTGGGCTGGGCTTCGACGACCCAGTTTCCCAGCAGTGTCAGCTGACGCAGGAGAAACAAACACAGCAGTGGCTCAGGCCTTTAAGAGGATGGAGAGATGGAGATTAAGGGGTCTGTGCACAAACAAGGGGAAGTCCGCTTAATTTAAAAACACACTGCTTAGGGATGAACCTGATAGAGCAACGAGTTGATAAAAATAATATATTGTGCCATATACATTGTAAAAAAAAAATGCTGGGTTCCACACAACTCCTTAAATTAGACACAATTCCTTCAATTCAAACACAAATCGACTACGTTAACTTAATCATTTGTATACATTTAAGTGAATTTAACATAAAAGAATTAAGTTGTCCCAAAAAAGTAAGAACTGTTTTGGTTCAACTCATTTTAAATAAATTTGAACAAGCAGCAAAAATCATTTTTGAATGTAATTGTAAGCGTAAAAGAGGTAACATTTAGAAAATTATATTTTGACTGAAGAAAACGAATGGAAATAAACAAAGACAAACAAACGTAAAATTTAATTTGTTTATTTCTCTACAAAGAAATATAATAAAGCAAACATCATTGAAATAATATAGCATGTCTTTGACTCTACACTCTAGGACAAATTACAAAAAAACATGCATTCGCAATTTAAAAAAGTTTGTAATTATTTTATTTGTAAAACAATTGTAATAATATAGGGCTGGGCAATATGGTAAAAATACCATCTCAGTAATTATTTTAATTTAATTTGTTGAACGATAACAATACAGATTTCGCTAAAAGTGACTGAAACACAAAATTTAAAAATTCCATTAAATGGCATAATATTTCAGGTGGCCATAAATTCAGTACATCTCTAATACCGACACACTTTTAGATTCCCATTGTTGCCCATTTCTGCGGTGTGATTGGCTCTTAGAGCAATACAGAAGTAACAAAGTCCAGAGTTTATTGTTATTGACATAAATTTTATCCTGATTCTATTTAATATAGTTTATAAATATCAATGTTATTAAAAATGTATTACAATGAAACAATAATATGAAGCACAAACACACAAAATGAAATATTGTTCAAATATTGTTTATCTATTACTCATACTTTGAAAGACTATATAAGAAGTGTTTGTCTGTGAGTGTTTAACTCTTTTGGAGTCATTTTCAGACATGTTTTTATGTTTGTGCATTAAAGAGTCTTGTCTGTCTGTCAGGGGTAAAGTTGTAACGGTATGAATTTTTCACGGTATGATAATCGTCTAAAACAATACCACGGTTTGACGGTTTCGCGGTATACGGTATGTTACAAATGTTACAATATAATAGAACAGTGAAGCAAATTTGACTTTTTCCAAATAATATATTTTTAGTTACTATAAACAACACCACTTACAATGAACAAATAAAAATAAGAAAATAATAAATAATGTGTCAAAGTCCAAATAAAGTCCAAATAAACATGGTGCAAATCCTCAGTAAAAAATAGATATAAATATTTACTATACTATAAATAGTTACATAACGAAACTAGATTCAATATGGAACATTCTTAGGGTTTATGTGCCAGCATGGATATGGTTGTCTATGGATATGGATATGGTTGTCTGCAATGCAGACAAACAGCTGCATCTTCATTTGCGTCTTTTGAAAACAGCAAGAGCAGCAGTTCGTCTTTGCTGTGTCACTGTTTTGTCATGTTTCTGTGCTGCTGTGGATGCAAAAGTACTTAGTATGAGAATTATTTCATGCAAAACTTTTTTTTTTTGCGTTTTATTTAGCCGCGCATAAATGTATGCCTTTCTCTCATTCCGTGTTGTTCAAAAAGCTTGGTCCACAAACAAAAGCGAAACCTATGCTTATTGGTTGTGATATAGCGAGTTTGAACCAATCTGGGCATGGAGGAGGGACAATGCATCAATGTATCATGTCTGATTTGTCCGGAGACACAGTGACGAGCGTTTCTTTGTCAAATCAGCGTTGTCTAATTTTGATGACGTAACCGCACTGATTCCGGAGCCTCTGAAAGTCCGCGAATGTTATGTGATACAGCACTGGAAAGCTGAGATTCTCTTCTTTATGCCAATCTTTGAATTGTATGAATCGGATCAGCGGATCAAAAGTTATTAAACATTTAAGAGCAATACTTATTTTTAGCCGCGGGCGGCTGTCTCGGTCTTTAAGGGTTAAAACCGTTGATATGCAATTGTTCATGGTATGATAATCGTGCACGTTCAAATCGTGGTAAACCGTCATACCGGTATATTGTTACAACCCTAGTCAGGGGTGCCCAAACTTTCTTACGAAGGGCCAAATATCAAACTTGATTGAGGCTAGTGGGGCGAAGGTAAATATAGTTGCCGCAGGTAATTTCCTAATATATTTATTATTTAAAATAAACAGTAAACATTGCTTTATATTACCTTAAACAGCGTATTTTCAACATTTTATAAATAAACCTATTGCAGTGAAAAGAAAAAACTATTTAAACAGAATGGAGTTACACTAGTTTTTGCCTTGATTTGCTCACATATGTCTTCTGCGTAGTCCTCTATCCTTCGAGTGACATTATTTACATTTTAAAAAAATCTG